CGAACAGCAAGGAAGCACATCACTCTCCTTGCGATCGTCCCGTGACCTTCAGCTCGCCTTCACCTCGGTGGCCTGAATTCACGTTCCTTGAAATATGCAGCCTGCTCCGCATGTGCTTGTGTATGAAATAGTACCTTGTGTTTCGGCGAAGAGTTTTGTTTCCAGTAGGCGTAAGCTCATACGGCACTGTCCATTCGCATCTCTCTCCATGCCACGACTTCACCGCACGCTTGCTTCTTTCCAAACGAAGGGGTTTCGGGAAATGTTTTCGGGTTTTGTGTTATCTGGATTTTACGACAGCGAACTCTTTTGATTAGTTCCGGCACTTCTGTCATAAAGCGCGCGTTTGAAACCTTGACGATTCTCTCGTCCCAGTGAGCAACATGACTTGTTTCTCCAGTCTCTAGGAAAACGGGTATACAAATCACTCATTCGCCAATACTATTATACGCATGCCCGATCTGGACCAATGCCGCCCAAACCAACGTTAACAAATTGCAAGTGTTTCAAATCAAACATTTAAGACCAATAACAAGAACACCATGGTTCATTAGTAATAAACAACTTCATAACGATCTAAACATAAATGAAATAACACACCAAATAGCATTCCTATCAAACAACGTTTACACAAACTTATCATTCATAAAGGCATCAACTGACTACAGACTCTGAAAAGATCCCAGATACAAAATCAGAATTAAGAACAGATTCCCGCTCCATTCTTTCCTCCAGATATTTGCAAATGTTGAATAATTCTCCTGAGGTGATTTAATTTTCTCTTCCTATATTAAGAGTAATGAAGTAAAATTTTAACCTAGATTAAGTTAATTAGATTAAGTCATCAAAAAATTGCAAAGTTTTTATTGTAAACTGAACATTGTACTTGAACAAACAATTAAATAAAATAAAAAAAGGAAAACGGGTGGTCACTTAACTCCTCCTCTTTTTAAAGATTTTGGTGTTCTGGTTAGGCAGACCGGGAGTGCTAGTATATTATCATGAGCAATTTGTTCTCCATGATATTAAACAACTCTAGAACAAATTTTTACTCTATAGGCTTCTCTTTCATATCTTCATTCTTGACAAAAATTGGGTTTACTTTTTCTGGCTTCCCTACTAAATACATTTCACCTTTTCTCCTCTAACATTTTGTCTCGTCTTCTATTCGCTGCTTGACAGCTATTTTGACATTTTTCTTGTCGGTTTTTCTACATTTATTTTATCTTCGATACAACCTACATTTGACAAGCTGTTTAAATGCTTTATATTCGTGCGAGGGGCAATCTTATCTATTTTTGTTATTTTGTTTAAATTCATCAATTGACTCCCTTATTCGTCAAGTCATAACCAAGGGATTTTACTTGTTTTGTGCAAAAGTTACTCTTCTCTAAATTTAATTGCAAATTACTTTCAATTAACTGCTTTAATACTTCGATGCCATCTTCGCACATAGTAGAAATCAACTTAACTTTTTCCTTATATTTATCAGGAATGACATACTGATACCTCGTGAATGTCGTTTGATCTGTAAGCTCAATTTAAAATTGAAAATATTTTACAGCTTGTTTACTATTACAAAATACCGGTTTACTTTTCATCTAAATCTCGGTTAACCTCCTTTTCTGATCTTCGTCCAAATAAGAAATTTGCTAACGGGAGAACGGCAAATAGGCGAATGAATTGAAATTCAAACGTGTCTTATTATTTGGCTTTAATGTGATAGTATAGTTTTCTAAGTTAATGACATAGTGTTGCTTCATGAAGTCACCTCCAAGGATAAGCGGATAAAGACGTTCTTTTGCTAATATGCAAACGACTTGATACAAACTATTATCTATTTCTACGCCTAAACTGTTTTGTGACTGTTTGTTACTGTGTGACTGTTGTTACTGTTTGGGTGATGGGCTTCGATTTCTTTCGATTTTCTCCTATCAGGAACGACTGTACGTGTAGCAACGCAGGTACCTCCACTCAGTTACTTTAAAACTCATTTAACAAACATTCAGATATAACTGAAGTTGCACAGCCTGTGTCCACCAAAACAGACAACACCCTCGTCTCTGACGATTATCGCAGGGCATTACCTTCTGGATCCGATCTGCACCTTTTCACCATCGTCCCATGGCTCTTCATTAAATGATACCAATTCAATCGATAGTATCGCTACCTCTTTTAGTTTTGCGTCGGGATGACGAGTCGAGACAAACCACGTTAATTTCCCGACTAATGTCCGTGATGTGTACTAGGCTGAGTGTTCTTTGATTGCGAGCTTCCCCTGTTTAAAGAACCTTTCCTGCTTGTATTTATTTATTTATTTACGTCAAAAACAATTAAAAACTGTGTGTGACGTGCTAGGGAGAGAAGTTGTTTTTTTGAAGTTACAATGATGTCCAGGAGCAAAACAAAGGGGCATCTCAGCATTTGCTCGAGGATCAGGGAAACTGGACGAAAACCTGATCGAGATGGGGATCTTTGTATCTCCTGAAGTGCTCCTATCTTGCCTGATATTCGACCTTTTTTCCTGATAATGCTTGCATTTGGAGGTAGCTCCCTTCGGCTTATTCACGTACCGTTGCTGGGTTTGGCTCTCGTAAGTCTCTGTAACACTCGATCTAGATTTTTACATTCTCTTGTTAAAATGCGAATGCAGCATCGTACAATTCTAATTGTGTGATTAGCTTTTCTGTTGATATCGGCAACATTTTTTAAAATAAGTTCTGCTTTTCCGGCGGGATATGTCGTATTAGTAAACACACTATCTCATGTGTCATCGACGGAGTACATAATTTTAGACAAGCTAATTTCTCACTCGCATATTCTTGCATGGACAAGGTTCCCTTCTTCCATGTTCCATACATTACATCAATCTTGAAATTAATTTTGATTTCGTTATTCCAAAAAACGAGAATAAAACTTATCCCAAAATTCTTTCATGGTTTTCGGTAGTTCGCTTAAACTATCCGCCCAGATGCGTGCGTCACCTTGCAACATCTGATATACTATTTGCAATTTTTTGTTGTCAGGCACATAATTTAACGAAAAGAAGTGATCACCATGAATACGCAGGAAGTTTCGTTATTCAATGCACTGAAGGTTGGAGTACTTGGTAATGAAACGTATGTACGAGCTGCATTGACAGAACCCGCAAATGGCAAATTAAATATTATTTTTAAGTTATACAACCTCATTCCTACATTCATTAATTTGAAGTTGTATAAAACTATCTTGTTGTTGTTTTTGATTGTGTAGAAAATGTTGACTTGATGTTGTAGAAAACTATCTCTATCTTTTAACTTTTAACCTTGACAGTAAGAAACAAAATTATGGTGGTTGACTTTTCTTAAAACGGGGTTACATAGCTAAGGCGAAACCGCCCCAGTCAGAAAAACCACCCCGGGGATCCCGTGTCTCGGGGATGAGGAGGGTCGGTGCTGTGCAGCTCACAGCCCCGTCGAGCCCCGTCTGCCCGGAGCGCGTGGCAGCGAACAAGATGGGTGCGGGAGCGCATGGTGGCGCGCCCTGTGAACACTTGGCCATCGAATGTTAAGGTTCGGAAGACGCCTCTAGCACAGTAGGAGAAATGATTTAATAGCCCATATTGCTACCTCCCGACCTCGGCTGCGAAAGTTGGTCACAGTCACCTAGGCAGTGCTGGACGGCTATACGTTCCAGGTGTATGCTATATTTAGAGAGTTTAGGTTGCTCTGTATTTTTGGGCATTGGTCTGTGAGATTACGGCACCTCAGGACAGAATAATGAACATCTGGAAGACTGAGTGGATATAACTCAGGAACACAAATTTTAAAAAGCACAAAATTATTGTAAGCAAATCCTTTTATACTTGTAATCTTTAAACACAACATATAACAATATATTACCGCAATTAAATACCCATGCAAATGCATCACATTCCATTTATCACTACAAAAACAAGTGTCAAAATGAGAAATTATTTAATGAGCAGAGAAAGAACGAGGCAAAGAGATATGTGCCTATAAACACTACTGTCTCCTGCACTTCGATCAATGAAAGTGCTTCATCCTCAACTGAACCATTGGCATATTCTACACTTCAAACTGCGCTAGTAGCACAAATACTAGAAATTAATATGATAATTCAGATTCAAATTCATCTCTTACACCCCCTCAGGAAAACACTAAACTCTAATTATATGTACATAGTCTAAACACGTAAACGTAAACACGTTATCTTTATCGTTCTGTTCTTTTTTGTTTGTTTGTTACTATTCGTTTGAATCCAGTTGGTCACTCACGCTCCGTCTGGCCATGGCTCCTTCCGGATACGCACTGCACACGCTCCACGTGACGATGGAAATATGGCCTGCAACAATGTTAAATATTTTAGTTGTAGCCCTAGAGACCTTACAAGTTCAACACCCCTGGGATGGAATGCGTAATATAATAATATTATGTTAGCATTACCGTTAATACGAGAAACTATGAACGTGTTACACTACTAGTTAATTACTTTGATACTAGTTTTTGTAAAGTAGTCGGTCTACATGATCGTATCGATTTGATCATTTAATGATCAATTTCACTATCAAATGATCGATTTTATCATTTTCGATCATGTCAACTGCTGTAGTCATTAATCCCGGTAGCGTAGTGAATGTTTTATTCTTTTATTCACTGAGATGGCCGTGATTCCTTCCTCATTCTATTGAAACTATCGCCCTCTTAAGAACGCTGAACTCTACACATCAGGGGTCGACATCGATCAGTTTGGAAATGGCTGCTTTAATCGTACTGAGTGTGTGTGACCTCCTCCCACACAGGTACTTCCTAAACCCATTGAAACCTTCCCCAGAGGATGCGTTTGTAACTTCTCTGCACGCCCCCTGGCGAGAGGCGCGGCGGCGTGGGATCGGCTGCGTCGTCGAAGCGGGGGTGGAGAGCGGGGGCGGGGGGGGTGGGGAGGGGAGGGGGGAAGGGAGGGGAAGGGAGGTACATAAGCGCGGGCGCGGGCGCTCGGCCGCGCACTGCGCGTCCGGGATGTCGTCGCAGCTGACGGGGCCGGGCGCACGGCCTCGCCGCCGCCGCCCTGCGGCTGGGCGCCCATGGCAGCAGCCGCTGGCCGAGAGGCGCGGGCGCTTTCTGCGCCGCTGGGGCGTTGACCACCACACCCACCACCCACCGCTCGCCCAAGGTGAATATCGCTGCGCGCATCTAACGCTCCAACCCCGCCAGGCGCTTCGCCGCCACGCACGTCGGCAGCTTACAGGGGCGGTGCCCCGTTGGAGTGATACCTGGAGGAGGAATAAGCCCGTACGCCGGCATGTAGGTCGACGTTGGATATCTCGTTCCACTGAGGAAGGAAATCTCCATATTAAGGGATGTAGATTGCTCTACCATTGCGGGACTATGGCCTTACGCAGCGGTCATAATGTATCCGATTTTGGCCGAAATTTAGGTCGGCTAAGTTCGGTTAATTTCGTCTGATATGGAATGCAGGGGCAGAGCTTGATGCACGCGATCAATCAACTCATTCGATTGTCCACTCAAATATTCGATCGCTCTCACTCATTCGATCACTCACTTGTTCACTTACTCTTTCGATCACTCGCTCACTTACTCATTCGATCACTCACTCGAGCTATCTATTGATCGATTACTCGAACGCTCAGTGACTCACCTGCTCAAACGCGTGAACCTCAAGACGAATATTTTCGAATTTCCTTCCTCGGATCGAGAAAACGTGCAAGTTGTTTTTCTTGACTTGGGAAACTCTCGGTGCCCCCCTCTGGGTCAAATACGTAGTTATTTATGCACCAAGGGCGTTATAAAAGTTCTAAATGATCGAGGGGTGACAAAATGCCAAAGGACTTTTGGCCCGAGGGTCTTTTGTCGCTCGAGATCATAATTACACATTAACGCCCGTGGTACATGCATAATTTTATTTTTTACCTAATTTTATTGTTTCAGATGTACTTATTAACTAATTAACCAGATGTTAACTTGACTCGGTTTGCTTTTTCATATTTCCCTCCTATAATTTCCTTTCATAATTCCTTCTCATAACTCCCTCCTTAAGAGAACATGCATCATTCATATTTTTTCATATTTCCCTCGTAACCATGATCCTTTCGATCCAGGTAAGTTATGCAGTGTATATCGAGCTCCGAATCGAAGAAAATAATAATAATACAACGGATGAGTAAAAAATAAATACATTTGTATTTACACTGAAATTATTCTCAATCTCAGCTTAAGAATTTACATTTTTTAAAATTTTTTTCTGCCACTAATTTGCCTTTGCATTTAATTGTTACTAGTACATTCTGGTTTTATGTGATACTAAGTAAATATATCATACAACTCTTTGATTTACTTTTTACTTTCTTGCCCTAACTTCGTAAGAAGAGAAAGTTATGTAATCGTGTGTCGGAAAATGGGGAATTTGCCGTAGAAAACTATTATTGCGGGGCCCAGCTAACGAAAAAGTCGATAAATCCAGTTTCTAAATATAGAAAAAAATCATCTAACACGTGGTGTAGCCGGAATAAATGTTTTGTGGGTCCTCTGAAATATCGATTGACAGCAAAACTTGTGACTGTCTCCATTTGTCCGTCTGTCTGTCTGTCCATCTGCCCGTGATCAAGGCTAGCGCCTTAACCATTCAGCCAATTTCCTCGAAAATTGACATTCCGCGAACGATCTAAATGAACTCAAGGACTAGGGAGTTTCAACCGCATGTTTTGGATTTTGACTTTACGGTACTTTACATAAAGTTTCAAAAACATTTCCAAATTTTCTTAAATATGGCACCAAATATTCTTATTTAACTTTAACTAATGTTCGTTAAAGTCACAAATTTTACGAAATTTTCAAAAGTGCTCTTTGGGCGTCTGTGATATTGAAGTTAGTATTCTTTTACCGAAAGTTCTTTACAGACAGATTTTGAAACAACGTCATGTTCAATTCTACGAAAATATGAATGTTTTAATTATCCGCAAAATATAGGAAATTTTAACTTTAAAATTTCTTCTCAAAAAACCGCTTCAAATTAAAAACAATTATCCTCGTATGTATCAAGGGACGATAAAAGGTGGTGCTACACCCATTTTTGGCCATCTTTCCGTTTTTTCAAAGATAGCAAAAAGTCAACATTTCAAAACCAAAAAATTAAGATGGAGATTGTTGCCATAGATAAAGTCTGTTGTAAAATATCAGCTTTTCAAAAAATATCTATTCTTTTTTAAAAAAGAGTAGATTTCGTTTTATTTGTGACTGAAAATTATAAAATATATTTCATAAAATGTTTTTCTCAAAAACAGCTCCAAATATGGTTTTCAATTTTTTTCAAAGATAGACGAAAGACAGTTTATAAGAATGGAGCGAGATCAGTTTCTTTGTAAACTGTGCATTTTCGAAAATGACAAATTTAGAAATTATTCGAGAAAGTATGTGCTGTTTAGCACCACTAGTTTACTCGTACATTCAGGTTGGGCATTTCTGCGACGTCTTCAATTTCTTTGTCTCTCTATAAATATACGTTTGCAGTGTGGTGTATTGTTTTCAATAATAATACACAGAGTTTTCGGACAATCGGACGTTTTGAAAAAAAAACAAACTTTTTTGATATCACAGGACCCCAAAACGTGTATTTCCTTTGAAATCTCGAAATCAATTTTCTGCAGCATTACGTAACTTTCCTTATACTACGTTTATTCTGTATATACGTACGTATACAGGAAAGTAAAAAGGAGTTCTCTACAGTTTTGTAAACAGAATGGAAAATTGAAAAGAAACATAATTTTGCTGATAAATTATCTAGGTTGCTAATAGATTCCCTCATTTACTCGTATTTTATTAAATTCGAATTCTTTGATTTTGAAGGAACAAAATTATGAGAGAATTTCACTTATTTGCTTCGATTGTGTGATTGACAAGTGATTCTGGCCGTGTCAACGACTAAAGTCATTATTCCCGTATATGTGCTTCATGTTTCTTTCGCGTGAGGTAACGGTGATCTTCCCCCAATGGATTGTGACATCCGACGATGACTTTGCCTTTCGGCTTGTGGCTCCCTAGCTAGGTATCTCCCACTAGCGGGGCACCGCCCTAGGCGGGACAAGCTCTAAGCCCCCCGACATGTGTGGTAGTGTAGTCCTTGTAAGAGAAAGTTTGTAAGTAAGGAGTGAGGATAGGAAAATGAAGAGGGCGGAAAGATTGCGCTGGGTCCGTCGCCTGTTTGTTAGGGTACAGCTCCGGCATTCGCCTGGTATTGACGGGAGAAACCGCGAAAGACTACCGATCAGAGCAGCCGACCGCTATAATTCTCTTGGATACAGCGGCAGAATTCGACCTAGCTATGTAGCTAGAGTTGAAAATCATCCCGCACCGTCGGGATTCAAATCCTAGGTCATCCTGGTTAGAGGCACTGCAGTAACATCAGTCGATGCCTTAAGGCACCTAAGCCGGGTTATTTAATTCGAAAACCGCACAAGTTTAGGAAAATGGATTGAAGAAAGTTAATGAGGAAAATAATCATAATGTTCCTGTCAAAATTAAACACTTGCGATGGCCTTTTAAGCTACAATTGCAGAGTAACATGAAGAAGCTCTCCAAAGCAAACTGCAAGCTTTAAAATTGCCTCTTGCTTTTGTTGACGAATATTGATAATTGATTAAGTGATTCCGGGCGCATAAACAGCTAAGGACATTAGTCCCGTAAGTATAGTTTTCGTCGCGGGAGATGGCGGTGATCTCTCCCGCTGGATGGCGAGATCTGGCGACGACCTACGGACGGCTAGTGGGGGGTTTCCCCAACCAGGTATATCCCACCAGTCGGGCACCGCTCTAGCCGTGACTAACTCCAAGCTCCTGACTAGTCTCCCAGCAAGTTTGTTAGTGTAGACTGTAGCGCATCTAAATAGATGTGCGTCTGTGTAAGGGATGAAGATAGAACAAGGACGAGGAAGGAGAGATCACGCGCGGTCCGTGGCCCGTTTGTTAGGGTACTGTTCTGGCATTCGCCATGTTGAATTGAATTAATGCCTTATTTTACGTGGCGAGACTCGGGCCATTGGGCCCGCTCTTCCGTCTGACCACGCAAATTTCGCTACGCTCCTTTCACCAACTAGCAGAGGAAGGAGGTATTTCTTGGGCGAGAAACATAGGGTTTGAACCCGCCAACTTGGGTATACCAGTCCGATACGCTAACCGTTACACCATCGCCGCGCACAACTAGCGATCAGAGCAGCCGGTCGCTAGAATTCTCCTCCAGACAGCGACTGAATTCGACACTAGCTGACAAGCTAGTGTTGAAAATCCTGCCATCGTGGGGATTTGAACATAGGACTTCCCGATCAGAGGCACTGCAGTGACATCAGTTGATGCTCTGAGCCGCCTCTCCACGTGTGTTGCCGGGGAGTTAAATTGAAGCATCTGATGAGCTGCGGGCGAAGCTACGCGAGTGAGTGGGGGAGCCGCCGGCACGGGCGAGGACAACCGCAGTCGGGCTTCGACCCGCGCCCACGGGCCGCACAAGGCTGCTGCGCGACGACCTTGCGCGAACTGGGGGGCGGGGGGGGGGCGCTCGTCCCCTCCCCCTTCACGACAAAATATGCAACACTACTTTTTTCAGCACTCGTGCATGGAAACTATTACTAACCTTCACTGTTTATTGCCTGAAAGTGCTACTTTGCGGTACTTTGCAAAATAGACTTAGCCATACGCGCACAAGTGACCATCATAGAAAATAAAGAGTAAGTACTGCAAAGTAAATAAAAAGCACTGGGGTGACAGGAACCTACATGGCTGCCGCTTCACATATTGAGAATGGCGCCACGAATATTTATACTTGTAAGTTTCCATATATTCGTACTAAAAATGAATGTACGCCACTCCCACGACAGTGTCTTTGTCGTACTCTTTTGAATCTGCTGGATGAGGATCCTGTCGACACAAATTGTTTGTACTAGTTACGTAAATCACGGCAGGGAAGTGAGTCAAGAAAATCTGTATTAGTGTTTTAGTGTAAAAGTAGTTGAAAATTTTGCGCGGTGGTGGAAGGCTGGAACCCCATTCAGCCGTCAACTTCAAAATTGGCGGACGAAGCGAGTCAATTCGACTTATCAATAGGGCAAATTTTTGCTAAGTCAACATATCCCAATTCTTTTGCAATTACAATTTCTTTAAGTCACTGTTCATTATACAGCGCATTCCATACATTCTATATTTACACATTTACTTTAGGTTCGTAAAAAACAAATAAATAAAAAAAGTCGCGTTTTACACTCGCGACCACCTAAATTGAACTGAATTGAATTGAATTTGCCTTATTTTACGTGGCGAGACTCGGGCCATCAGGCCCGCTCTTCCGTCTGACAACGCAAATTTCGCTACCCTCCTTTCACCAACTAGGAGAGAAAGGAGGTATTTCTTGGGCGAGAAACAGGCGGTTTGAATTAAGCTCAGAGGCGTCATTTAGGCGTGAGGATCTTTTACATGCAAGTAAATCTACGAACATGGGACAGCCGACTTTACTTCCCCTCCGAAGGAAGGCGTACGAAGGATTTTTTCGCCCTTAAAAATCCACGGCTTCGATCGGGTTTGAACCCGCCAACTTGGGTACAACAATCCAGTACGCTAACCGTTACACCATCGCCGCCGCAAATACCTAAGGTATCGTCCATAAATTACGTAACGCTAAAGACGGGGATAGGGTCGCGGCAACGTTACGCTGCGTGAATTGAGGGTAAGGGGTGTTAGTTCAGTGATACGTAACATTGATTTATTTTTAATTTTTCGAAATTGGGGATACAATTATTTTTTCTGTCTGATTCCAAAACATTAAAATATTAATTACTTTTTAAAAATCATAAATAATTTAAAGTTGTATAATTTGTTACAATAAAGGGAAGAATTGTTCGTATATTTTTTATACAATCTGTAAGATTACGAAGAAATTATTCAAAACTGATAAATCGTATATTCTAGAATCCAATTAAATTGGTGCAGTAGATTGTCGCTCAGGCGTCATCCACGAGTGCGCGGCTTGTAAGAATTTGCATAGATTTTGAAATAGATCACAAATATAATTAATACAAGTTGTTTTTCTGTGATATTTATATATAGTGTTACGTAATTATTTTGGGGGACTTCAAGCGTACGTTACGAGTGCGTTACATTGGGTGGAGAGAGTATTCAAATTACTCCAAATACATAAACCGGGAGAGGTGGTTCAGGGCATCAACTGATGCCTCTGCAGTCCCTCTGACCGGGAGGTCCTAGATTCGAGTCCCGTCGGTGGCAGGATTTTCGGCACTAGCTTGTCAGGTAGGTCGAATTCAGTCGCTGCCTGGAGGAGAATTCTAGCGGTCGGCTGCCCTGGTCGGTTGTTGTCCGTGGTTTCTCCGATCCACACCAGGCGAATGCCAGAGCAGTATCCTTCCAAACGGGCCACGGGCCGCGTGCGATTTTTCCTTCCTCTTCCTAGTCCTATCCTCACCCCTTACACTAACATGCACTTCGCTACCACACATGCCGGGAGTCTGGTCGGGAGATTTGAGCTTACCCCAGCTGGGGCTGAGCCTCACTGGTAGGAGATACCTGGTTGAGGAAAATCCCGCTAGCCGACGGTAGGTCGGCGCCGACTCAGGCCATACAGCGGGGGAAAGACCACCGCCACATCCCGAGCATAACATGCACTACACTTACGGGACTAACGACGTAGTTGACGTGACCGTACTACATCAACTCAGTAGTGAATGAACATGAACAACTCAGTAGTTGACGTGACCGTAATCACTAACAATCAATCAATCTATCAATCAATCAATCAATCAATCAATCCAGCGTTACATAATTTATGGACGGCCTCTTAGTACACAGCAAAACCCCTCGCAATTCAGCCCGGGCACGCACCTCAACACCCGCCTAATGTTCCGGGCCGGCGATTGCTGTCAAGTCCGAGTGGATAGTTGACCAGGGTGGGCGATTTCCCCTCCCGTCCCCTCCACATCTCATGGAAATTTATTTCAAGGGAAAAATACAAAACAGAATTTTTTCAAATGGTCATGTTCTAACTAAATTGTCATCGAATTTATTTTTCGTAACTTCAGCTGTTCATTTTCGCAATGCAAAAACGGGACTGCGCTACTCATTTTCTCTTTCAACAACTTTTGCAAATCGATTTTGCCGGCCATGTCGCTATAAACAGGTATAGTTGCAATACTGCTGAGCCGACCTTGCAACAGTTGATACCATCTACGTTTCGGAGCCGACGCAATACCGAGAAACGTCGTTAGCTTCCGGAATCTAACGTTTATAGACTATTTCTTTCACCCCAAATTCAAAGTGGGAGTTTTACCCACTCGGAATTTCTCGTGTGGGTATGGCTATCCACCATACTCACATTATCCGCCGGGTCTGCCCATATCCTATCGAATGTTTCGCCTTGCTCCTCACCGCATTCTATTACTCTTTCTCCCACTCACGGGCGAGTCTTGCACGGAAATGCATTTGGGGCGGGATGCCTACAAGGAAGCGATTTAAATACGAGTGCTTCCGTGTGACTTTAGTTTAAGAGAATTTGAAATTGACTTATTGAAATTAAAAAGATGTACAAAACAGATTACAAAATATCAAGTAATGTCGCAGCTACTCACAAATTCAATCAAATCTCTGACAACACATTTAGAAAACTATTGAATTCGAACAAAGTATCTCATATATCTACTGAAGCAGTACTGACTCATATGAAAATGTTGTACATATTGCAATGTGACTGAGGATTTGCACTCAGTCAAAATATTATCGCCCATAATGAAGAATCCTTAAAAGTTACTTGCTTGGTATAGTTGTCACTCTCATGGATTAGAAAATTAATGTTGTCTACTCCTCTCGCGAAATTAAAACCAAGAGTGTTTAACTATACATACAAAAAGCCACAATCAGGGCGGTATATCTCAAAAAGTTTACCGCTTTTTCTATCCGAGTTTTCTTACGGCTTCTTCCTACTGCCCAATCATAAATTGTGACTCACGTATCTTAGGAGGCGGTATACATCCATTGCTATGTCGATGTCCAATAAACAGCGTATATACTATAACTTTACATCTTATTTTAATACACGCTTTTAGTTATTTTCAATATTTGGAGCATTTTGGAACTGTGTTAGACATACTTTTACTCGAGGAATTGTACTATTAAATATCACTCGTGCTTTCGAAATTCTCAGATAATCGTCTCCTCCCTTCGCGAGTCGCGTATTTATCGACAATTTCCCAAGTACTCTCGTGGTATTACCTACGATAAACTAACTCGTGCGATTAATTTTCTTAAATAGAAAACTAACATGTTACCCACTGCTACCATAGTACAATTCAATTTTAACAAATAATCCACGTTTTTTTCAGACGCAGTCACAGTGAGGGGCCCTGAAGACATGGGCCAGTGACCAATGCACGTGGTGTCAGCAGTCCTGGGAGACCACGACTTCGCGCCTTGACCAGGGCCGCGCATCCCACGAGGCCTGCAGAGGAGCCCGCCAAAGAGCGCGGTCGCCGCCCACCGCCGCCCGCCCACCTGCCGCCCGCTTCGCCCCCGCCGCCGCTTTGCGCCTCGAAGCCACCACGTACACAGCGCGTCCTTTTCAGGGACTTACAAGCTTTTCCGGATGAACGTCATATCCAGTATATTGCCTCCTGGCAGTACATAACCAGAACGCGCGTCATGTTTACAGCCTTAGGCGCTTTTTCGCTGAAACATATCCTGTATATGTCTCCTACCACTACGTAGTATGAAGAAAAATGATTTTAGTTAGACGTAAATTTCTCTGACATTGCTAATTTAAAATAAATAAATGTCTCTATTGAAGAAGCTGAGGCTGCCCATCAGGCTACTGGACCAGACCACATTCAAAAGTTTAATGCAATACGTGATAAATGAAAGTCAATCAAGAAATTACGTACGCAATATACGATATTATGCAGCCTTTTGTGAGTGTATTTTCCGTGCCTAAAATGAGAAGTTTTGACTCCCCCCCCCAAAAAAAATCCTACGCCTTCTCACGAGGGGGGGGGGCACGTGCTGGTGACGAGTCGCAAAGGGCGCAGTCGCTGGAGAGCGCGAAAGGGCGCGGCTGGCGAGCGGTTGCGGCGGCCGCTGATGCGAATAGTCTGACCGCCTGCGCCCGGCGACGCCCGCGAGGCCAAGGGATAGCCGACGGCGCAGCCTCCCGCCGCGCGCAATAAACCCATTCGTTTCCGTTCAATTCTCTCTGTCTCTCTCTCACTCTCTTCCTCTATCTGTCTCTGCCTCTGTCTCTCTCTCTCTGTCTTACTGTCTCTCTCTCTGCCTCACAGTCTCTTTCTGTCTCTCTCTGCCTCTCACTCTGTCTGTCTGTGTGTCTGTCTGTCTGTCTGTCTGTCTGTCTCTCTCTCTGTCTCTCTCTCTCTGTCTCTTTCTGTCTCTCTCTTTCTCTGTCTTTCTCTGTCCCTGTCTCTCTCTGTCTTACTGTCTCTCTCTCTACCTCACAGTCTCTTTCTGTCTCTCTCTGCCTCTCACTCTGTCTGTCTGTGTGTCTGTCTGTGTGTCTGTCTGTCTCTCTGTCTGTCTGTCTGTCTGTCTCTCTCTCTCTCTCTCTCTCTCTCTCTCTCTCTCTCACACACACACACACGTTTACCCAAATCGGTATGGTTGTGCAAAATATGTGTAGCTAAAGGAGAATGATTATCCAGGAACAATGAGGGCTACAGAAAGGACTACAGACTTCATAAACTGCTCATAGGGTAGAGTCGGTAGTCTAAGAAATAGAACAGGCCCGTGTTGGAATAAAAAATTGAGAGAATGCGAGATGTCAATTAATGGATTTTAAGTGAAAAACTGTAAAGTCCTATTTAAATTAAAGTGTTCAATTTATAGAAAAAAACAATTTATTTTATCACTATGAATATAAAATTATTAAAAATTAATCCATTTATCTCGCATAAACGAAAATACATTTCATTTAATTAGCAACCTGTCTAAAAACAGATGAATAGTAATAAGCGATCTAAAATGTCATTGTAAGGCCTTCTGTACCTGTCGGACATGCAAAGTATCGGACAACAGAGAGGATAATTCTTTTAATTTACTTCGGGGGCTCACGCACCGTTTGTGGCCCATTCTGTGCTTAACATGTCGTCGGTGAACGGCCTCCCTTGGTCTCTCCCGCCGGCGGTCGCCGCGGCGCAGGCGCACGTAGCCGTTGCGCCGGGGCGTCGCATCCGCCCGCGGCCAACGCTTTGTAAGGAGTGTAAATAAAGCTGAAGCAATTTGTGGACAAGAGAATTTATTCTACTACCTGTCACTCCCCCGCCTCGCTTCCGCTCCCGTCCCACCCACGCTCCCAACCGTCTCCCCCCCCCTTCGCCGCACACTCCCTCTTTCCCCGCGCCCCCGTTTCCCGCCCCGCCTCACACCTCTTTCACTTGTTCGTGACTGCTCCTCGCACTATCCCAAAACGCTACCGACACCTCGTTCTGCCCCGCCCCCTTTCTGTTCGTTCCACACATCAACCTCCCCCCCCCAAGTTTTCTCCTCACAAAATTTATAGCGAACCTACATTCATACCTCATTAGTCACATCACAAGGGCTAGCACTTTGATCTTTTGTATATTATTTATCGTTCTTCTTCTTCTTTGGTAATATCATTTCACAGTGTTTTGAGACGTTCGACGTGTATTTGTGAGGGCATTTTTAATTGAAACTGTATTTTTTGGCATTTTGTTAGTTTTGAGATCATTGTTTGGTCATTTTTTATTTTTTCAGTAGTTTTATTGCTTTTTTTAATACTTAAATGCTCATCTCTAAATAGAAAAAATGCTGATGTCGACGCCCTAATAATTATCGCGTTAAAGTAATTAGATCAACGCGGTGTCAATGTCATTCAACGGTGTGAGGGCATAGGAAGTGAAGATGTCCCTAAACTCTTGTCTTCGGAATTTATGTCTTCGGTAGAGACATAAACAGTGAAGTCAGCACGGAGTCTGACGTCTCAACGTTGCAGTATTTAGTTTATTCCAAATATTTTATCATGGCAAATCATTAGCTTAACCGAAGAAACAAATATTTCGCAGTGTAAAACTCACGAAGTGGATATGTTTTAGGGCATTTTAAGACTTTTTAGGACAATTCGAAGGATTTTAAGGCATAAATGCATTATTTTTAGGGCATTTTATGTAGTTTTTAGGTCACCAAAATCCTAGCCCTACACATCACCAATCACTTATTTGCTCCTGCACGTTACACTCGAAACGTTCTCCAAATCATTTTTATATCCCCAAGTCTCAGGATCTTCTTATATTCCATAATTCTACCCCGCCTCGCTTCCTCTAAGTTGCCCGTTGAAGCCGAGCCCCACGGGCGAGCCCCTGTCCCCAGCGGAACCCGCCCCGCCCAGTGATGGGCGCCCAGCGCGGGGCAACCAGCGGTGGCGACGCGGGCGCTGGCAGCACGCTCCGAGCAGGTGAGGTCCACTGCGGCAAGCAACAGGCTCCTCGTTGCTGTGCTTCCGTTACATCCTTCCCCATTTTCTTATCTCTCTACTTTCCCGTATACGTGCGTATACACGGAGTAATGTACGTAGTATAGGGAAAATTATGTAATGCTGCGGAAAATCGATTTCGAGATTTCAACGGAAATATACGTTTTGGGGGCCCCTGATATCGAAAATGTTTTTTTTTCCAAAACGTCCGTCCGTCTGTCTGATGTTTGTGAACAGCACTAGCGCCTAAACTATGCGAAGGATTTTTTCCTAATTGAAGAAACCCCTGTTCATTTGGCCTGAGTCGAAGCTCTGCGATTTTAAAAATTATTCATTAGTTTTGGGAGTACTTTACATGAAGCCCCTGGGATATTTTCAAAATTTTCTCAACAATTACTCCGAATATTTTACTTTTTTGCCTCACTACGTACTTACGTAGTAAACAAAAAGTATTGTAAAGCTGCGACAGAAATCGGCGATTTTTCAATAGAAAAAACTTTATTACGGGGCCTTGGTATTGGAAAAGTGGATAAATTGTGTCATATATGTAGGACTAACGTACGTATAGGAAAAAGTAAAAAGAAATATCCGACGAGTTGTATTAACTCGGATTTTCGAAATCTGTTGAAATGATAGTGTTTGTAACAGATCTGTGACAAAAAGAAGATACCCATGTTTTTATTTTTACAGTATCATATATGAAGAATTGAAAGTAATAGTGTTAGGTTAGTGAATATTTCTTCTTTCTAATTTTTGCAGTTTTCGAAATTCAAAACATTCAATAAAAATTATACGTTTGCCATATATTTGTGTCCTTCACTCTATTCTAGGGGGAAGGGGAATTAAGAATAATTTCAAGCCGTTTTTAGGATTTTTTAACAATTGGATTCACTTGAAACAGAAATGATGCAAAAAATACTAGCTTGTTCAAAAAGTTCACAAGAAATTATTCGAATTTCAGATTTTTAGAACAGGTTTTCTGCTAGAATCATTTATGTACTTTTGCAATGTTGAGTTTTGCAATTTTCCAAAATACAGAGTTCGCAGATTCGGATCAGCACTACTTTCTCACCGGAGAGAGGATATATTCAACGAAATAAAAAATGTAGCCTTTTGAGAAAATAATTATTTATAAATTGCCCACATTTAACGCCAAAATCTACTCAAATTTATAAATGACCTTACTTTATAACCTATATTTGAACAAAATATTTCATTGGCAAAAAACGAAGGAAGACCCTGAAAATATTTTGAGATTTGCAAATTTTCGTAAAATCAGGAATTTGAACGAAAATGACACTTGCGCCATTCTTTTAAATCGTCCTTTACGCTAAGCAAATACAAAGTTACATAAAACATTTGAAAGCATTTCTGAGAAAATTGCGAAAAACGTTGTGGCTTCATGTTAAATCTAAAAATTCGTTTTAAAATCGCAGGACTTAATTCTATAGATCGATCGGGAATATCAATTTTGGAAAAAAATTATCTGTATGGTTCTTCATTTCTTTTATGGTCCTGGTCTGGTCATTCATTCTTTTAATCGTCCTTTACGCTATGTAAATACAAAGTTACATAAAACATTTGGAAGCATTTCTGAGTGGTTCTTCATTCTTTATGGTCCTGGTCTGGTCATTCATTCTTTTAATCGTCCTTTACCTATGTAAATAACAAAGTTACATAAACATTTGAGAAGCATTTCTGTTATGGTTCTTCATTCCTTTTATGGTCCTGGTCTGGTCATTCATTTCTTTTAATCGTCCTTTACGCTATGTAAATACAAAGTTACATAAAACATTTGGAAGCATTTCTGAGAAAATTGCGAAAACGTTGTGGATTCATGTTAAATCTAAAAATTCGTTTTAAAATCGCAGGACTTAGATTCTATAGATCGATCGGGGAATATCAATTTTGGAAAAAATTATCTGTATGGTTTAGGTGGTTATATATAGTCAAACTTTTGGCGTCAATCAATTTTTTGGTGTCAAGGTCCCACAAAACACGGTTTCTGACTATACAACCTGTTACAGGAAGTAATTTACTACACACAGGTCCACGATTTATCCACTGTTTTGTTACCAAGGCCCAGAAATAAGAGTTTTTCTGCCAAAAAATGGCTTTTTTACGGCGCAAGATGACAATATTTTCTCTTCTTACGTAGTAAGGCGTGAAAGTATACGTTCCAAACAAAAACGTTCTATTTTAGCTGTTAAATCCGTGTCTGCAATTTAAAAAATTAGATGAGTGGGTGTATTTCCCCCTTAAATATCACATTTTATATAATATATTATGATGTCGCATTTCGTTCTTGAGATATTTGAATGAATCAATTTAAATGGATCACGCATAATTAGTTCACTGATTTGATCATGTTCAAGTTTTATTTAATGTAATATAGTGAATTGGCCTGTTTCCGCTTAAATTAATACACGGTGAACCATCAGTCACCTATGTTTCAAATTAACTTAAAACTGCTCAGATTTTCTATGGCATCAAGGGCAATTTTCCCATGACGCGTTCGATGCAATCACTGCACTGGCTGCCAACGCCCTCAACGAGAGCGAGTGGAGCCTCATTTCCTGACCTCTAAATTGCGCAACCACGCCCACTATCGATTGTCTGACTGAAAGGGTCGTCGACAGAAATGCTTTTGCATCTCAGTTGCTAAGCCCCGTCCAATCTACATTTGCTCCCAATAATCCACACTGGCAAAACCGCACGAGGGCTCGCTGACAGCTCGCGAACGAGCCCACACGTGAATGTGCAGTTACAGAGTTTGAATCCTAGAGTGAGCAAACAATCTGATTGGAAACACTTTTGCAGCATCCAGTAGTTTTATAATATTAAGTAACCATTATAAATAACGCAAGAAAGTTCCTATTGATGTACAGTCACTATTTTTCTTAAAAAATTTAATGAATGTTTACTAAAGAAAAATTT